TTGGTAACTAACCATTGTGTTTGTTATGACTTTGATACATACAGTGTATGTTTGGTACTAACCATTATGTTTGTTATGACTTTGATACATACAGTGTATGTTTGGTAACTAACCATTATGTTTGTTATGATGTTGATACATACAGTGTATGTTTGGTACTAACCATTATGTCTGTTATGACTTTGATACATACAGTGTATGTTTGGTAACTAACCATTATGTTTGTTATGACTTTGATACATACAGTGTATGTTTGATACTAACCATTATGTTTGTTATGACTTTGATACACACAGTGTATGTTTGATACCAACCATTATGTTTGTTATGACTTTGATACACACAGTGTATGTTTGATACCAACCATTATGTTTGTTATGACTTTGATACATACAATGTATGTTTGGTACTAACCATTATGTTTGTTATGACTTTGATACATACAGTCTATGTTTGATACCAACCATTATGTTTGTTATGACTTTGATACATACAGTGTATGTCTGGTAACTAACCATTATGTTTGTTATGACTTTGATACACACAGTGTATGTTTGATACTAACTATATATTTGTTATGACTTTGATACATACAGTGTATGTTTGATACCAACCATTATGTTTGTTATGACTTTGATACACACATTGTATGTTTGATACTAACTATATGTTTGTTATGACTTTGATACATAGTGTATGTTTGATACCAACCATTATGTTTGTTATGACTTTGATACACACAGTGTATGTTTGATATTAACTATATGTTTGTTATGACTTGTTATGACTTTGATACATACAGTGTATGTTTGATACCAATGTATGTTTATGATATTTTTAATGGTTTGTTTTTTAGCAATTAATCAGGAGAAAGTTGATGCGAGAACAGAAATCAAGGGATTTAATCCTGATTCACTGAAACATGTGAAAACAGAAGAAAAAAATGCTCTACCAACAGCGCAGGGTATGTGGTACATTATATTGTTGCATCAGTGTTGTGTGTTACTGATCATAGTACAAAGAAAAAAATAGTGTTTGATTCTGAGATGTTCCAAACAATATGGGATGGTACTTCTTAAACCAGAAACAAATTTGTTTTGAACTGATGCGTACACTGACCAGAAACAAATCATTTATTTTGTTTGACCTAATGCATGCCAGTGTATCCCTCACTTTGAGGTTTTTAAGTTATGAAATTTAAACCCCTTCATAATAATGGAATGATCCATTCAATGCCAATCAATAATTCAACAAGATATTTCTTGTGATTTGCAAAATTTAAAAATGATCAAACAATTTTTCAACCTGTCATTTTTTTTTTGTGTCGAAAAATTGTAGATCCAGTGAATGTGTGTTCAGGAAAAGAAAACTTGTTAAATTTCAGCATTTTATTCAAAATCAGACCCCCAAATTACTTGAAGATTATGGTATGTTTTGAATTATGTTGAGAAAACGTGATATTGTTTTCCAAATTCTAGCAAACCTCAAAATTTAATGCAGGTTTTCATTCATTTTTGGCAGAGAAACTTACTTTAAACACTAAGTCTGCATAATATTATTTCATTTTTCATCCATTTCATCTAAAATTAATCAGCAACTTGAAAAAATAAAAGACAAAATGTTGTTCCAAGATTTTGGTTGAAAAATAACTATGGCATTCAAAGCTAAATAAACTTTGAATTTTTTCTACATGAAATGAGTAAAACAGCATACATATTGATGAATCATGTATTATGCTAATTATATGCAAATTACATATGCTAATTGTATGCAAATTATGTATTATGCGAACTGAAGCAAATTTACATTATGCTATTTCCTGTTATATGCGAATTATAATTAAACTATGCATTATGCTAATTAAATCTTGCTAATAACATGCAAATTTACATTATGCTAAGTTGTTTGTATATGCTAATTATATTTAAACTACTGGCATGCATTATGCTAATCATAGAATACTATAATTCTTTCATTAGATTGTAAGGAAAATAACAAAACACAAATTATACCCTTGTATGATTTCTTCGGTCTGTAATGCTTTGGTGCAAATATATTTAAATGACACGTAGTACTTGCTAATGTTTTGTATATGCAAAATTTATGCTAATTACATGTAAATTATCCATTATTGTAATACCACGCAAATTAAGCTTATGTAAATTACATGCAAATTTACATTATGCTTACTCCATGCAAATTTTGCTTTGGCTCCAAATACAGAAAACTTGCCACGGCTTCAAGCCCATTTTTGAGACTTGAGATCTGTTATCTATTGTTAATATAGTTTGTATTGCATGCTTTGAAGTGTGTTTGTTTGTAATTTGTGTTGTGTTTTGTATATTAAATTCCGTTATGCAGATCTTAGGGCAGAATTGATTCCAGATTCTTTACCAGATCGTAGTGAGGTAGCGTCATTTGATAAATCTAAACTCAAACAGGTTGAAACCAAGGAAAAGAATGTTTTGCCAACTAAGGATGGTGAGTTTTCAGCAAGGAAATCAGCAAACTGTTTTATTTTGGTGTTATTGCATGGTGTGGTGTGTGTGCATGTTTTCTAAGCAATGTTGATTATTATAATAAGGAACAGAATGGCATGCGACCATTGGCATGGGTTGATGTTGTGGAAAGGGAAATGGAAATGACAAGGGAAAGGAAAGGACAACTTTAATATGTCTTGAGAGTAGTAATGGTACTTGAATGAATCACATGCTTTCATTGTTTCGATATAGTTTGATTTGGGACTCCATTTTAATGCAAATCAAATGTCTTGGATCTTAAAAACAGAACAGATCGAATGGAAAAGTAGAAAATGTATAGAATAGAATAGAATAGAATAGAATAGAATAGAATAGAATAGAATAGAATAGAATAGAATAGAATAGAATAGAATAGAATAGAATAGAATAGAATAGAATAGAATAGAATAGAATAGAATAGAAAAGAAAAAAATGCTATTGCTTCTGTCTGGAAAGATATTTGTAAAGTCAATCTAATTCTTTTCTATCCCTATTTTCTGACTTAATTGGTCCTCCAACCATTCACATGATTTATAGTATTGGTGTCAGTTGTTCTGGACTTCTGGGCCAGATTAAAGGGATTTGGACTTCTGGCTCAGATTAAAGGTATTTGGACTTCTGGCCCAGATTAAAGGGATTGGGACTTCTGGCCCAGATTAAAGGTATTTGGACTTCTGGCCCAGATTAAAGGGATTGGGACTTCTGGCCCAGATTAAAGGTATTTGGACTTCTGGCCCAGATTAAAGGGATTGGGACTTCTGGCCCAGATTAAAGGGATTTGGACTTCTGGCCCAGATTAAAGGGATTTGGACTTCTGGCCCAGATTAAAGGGATTGGGAGTCCTGGCCCAGATTAAAGGGATTGGGACTTCTGGCCCAGATTAAAGGGATTTGGACTTCTGGCCCAGATTAAAGGGATTTGGATATAAAGTGTTGCATAAAATATGAGACACTCCAATGTTGTCAAAAATTGCAAAATAATTTCCTCATAAAATTGTGCAAATCAATGAAATATTCATTGCTACAAAATGTTCTGTTTTTATCTGCCTCTTGGATGTTTGACTCTTGTGACATTGTAGCGCTGTCATTGTGTCTGTGCATATGAACTTGTTTCTTATCTGATTCACAGTGATCAAGGAAGAAGCCACTGATAGCCGAGCCGAGGTTAAAATTTTTGATAAAACCAAATTGAAACATGTTCAAACAGAAGAGAAGAACCCATTGCCAACTCCACAGAGTAAGTCAAATATTGAATGTTTTGTTGCACAATATGTCCATTGTTTCTTAAAGCGTCAGTTATTTTTTGGAAACTATGTATTTCATATGTATTGTACACGCTTCGTGGGACCAATATTGAAGACTACGTGGTATGACAACTGAGACAATTCTACCCTTTGAATTTTGATGCAAAATTTTCCAATTTTTCTATAATTTTCATTTTCATATAATCAACATTTCTGAATGAATTTAAAGAAAAATAGTTTATTTGTGACGTGTGAAAAAATCACAACTTATGGAACTATTTGTTAATTGTAGGTTTGAGCTTTTATAATAATGTTTATTTGCCATAGATTTCATAAAAGAATAATAATACAACAATAAATAATGACTAATAAATAATAATAATATTAATCTATGGCTGGGAAACAGAAATTATCTCATGCAGAGCTCGTCTAGTCTGTTTCCCATGAAAGTCTTGAAATCATTTTTATGTATTTTTTTTGTGTATTTTTACATTATCTTGGCAGAAAAGTGTCCTGTCTTATTTAAACTGACTAATCGTGCTGACAAAAATCAAATAATTTTGTTTGGCTTCAGAAAAAAAAAATTGTCAAACTTGCTTTTATGAAAAATTTGTTTTTTTTATGTTATTTTTAATTGTTAATTTTAAAAATGGCATTTATTTTGAATAACAATTTTGTTGTATTTGGATTTATGGTACGTGATATATTGAGGGTTACTCAGTAGAACTGATATTAATTTACTGACTACATCCAAACTTTGATGTGATTTAAGAGAGCCACTCACGTTAGTCTGAAGTAAAATGGATTTTTGCTGCTGCAGCAATTAACACTTTAATAGTGTCATAAATAATCCTGACATATTGTGAAACAATTTATTACCTTGACTGATTGATATCCTGTTTGATTAAGGATGTAGTAGACTTTCGTTGGGCAAAACAGAAAAAGCTTGATAAAAATAATAATAATGATTAATGACTAACAATTTTTACATGTTATTGTAGCCCTTGCAACACTCTATCCAAAAATTATGATAACACTAATGTCAACATTAATTACGTCACGTGACTGCTAAATAAACAAAATCGATTGTTCTGCTATTATTACTGCTACTAGAAAACGAAAACAG